ACAATATAAATTAAAGATATTCCCTTATGTGTAACCTTAATGAAACTATGTCCATTAGTTTTAGGACAAGAATGTCCCACAACCTATAGAAAATAACTTATAGACAAAATAATCTAATCTTTAGTTTGATGTAGTTGTGATGGGCCATGCGAATGTGGCATTTGGCTCCATCTTCTCAACAATTAGAGCCCATATTTCCCTATTCTCTTATCCTTTTGTTTCTTGATTTTCTTGAATGCTGCCTTAAAAAACTTGTTATTGTTGTGCCTCTAGACTTGGAGCCACATGGAATTTTGCATATAAATGTATCTGTGTGTATATGTGTGTGGGTGCATGTGTAAGTGTTTTTGGTCATGAATGTCATATAATATGGTAATTACTTGAGACTGCTTAATAACCTTTCTATGCATTTCAGGAGAAATGGTGATCGGACCAAGAAAGACTCTTTTCATGGATGAAATATCTACTGGACTTGATGCTTCTACTACATTCCAGATCGTTAAGTGCATAAGGAATTTCGCTCACATCATGGAGGGAACTGTATTAATGGCTCTTCTGCAGCCTGCACCGGAAACATTCGAACTTTTCGATGATATAATATTGTTATGTGAGGGACAAATTATATATCAGGGTCCCCGAACATCGGTTGTAGATTTCTTTCAATCACTAGGATTTAAATTGCCACCTAGAAAGGATGTGGCAGATTTTCTTCTAGAGGTCTTAGTTTTGCAGAACTACTTGTTGGAACTCCATTGCTTTTATCTTTTTCTCTTATTGTTGTATTAGTAAAGCATTATCTTTCATCTTTACCATTTTATTGATCACTTGCCTCATTATATTTCTTTACCTTCTGTTTTACAGGTCACTTCCTTGAAAGATCAAGGCCAATATTGGGCTGATGATTCACAGTGTCATATGTTTCTAAGTACCAATTTTTCAGATGCATTTGAGCAATCTGAATATGGAAGAGTCATCCAATCGACTCTTTCAGTTTCAGATGATAAAGCAAATATGATCCATTCAGCTCTTGCACACAAAGATTTTGATGTTTCAAAATGGGAGCTTTTCAAGGCATGCTTTGCGAGGGAAGTGCTTCTGGTCAATCGTCATCGGACTCTATATTTCTTCAGGGCATGCGATGTAAGCCTTGTGGTTTTCATTTTAGGATTTTCTAATGATTTTCTATTTGCTTTTGTTATTCTACAACTGGCAATCATGCCCCTTTGTCTTCCCTGCATTAGAAACACAGGTTAACCAAGGTCATACTCCTATGTTGGATATCTCATATAAATGCTAGTGCTAGGGTATGAAATATTGGGTGTAGGAAAATTTAATGAAAGGGTAAATTCAAAAAATGGAAAAACTGAGAGGAGGTTGTTTCTTACGAAATGTAGTGTGGTAGTTAAGTTCAAAGAGTTAATTTATCCTCACAACCCAAGATTATGTTGATGATGTACTTTCTGTGTCATCTAAAGATAAGCTCAATACTAACACTTCAACACTCCCAAATTGACATTAGATTCTTTCTTTTTTGTAGTTTCTGATAATACTTTGACTTTTTCTGTTGTAATGTATGTCATGCTGTTTTCGAGAGCCCAGACATACACCTAATGCGTGATATGTTTTGTAGGTTGCCTTTGTGGGCCTTATCACTTGTACAATGTATCTGCAAACGAGGAACCATGCTAATGATGAGATAAATGGGAATTTGTATCTGTCTTGCTTATTTTTTGGGCTTCTTCATATGATTTTCAATGCTTTTTCTGAGACTTCCATGTTGATATCACGGCTCCCTGTCTTCTATAAGCAGCGGGATAACTTATTTTATCCTGCTTGGGCATTTTCAATTCCAAGTTGGATTCTACGCATACCTTTCTCTATCATTCAAGCGCTTATATGGTCTTGTATTGTCTACTACTCAGTTGGCTTTGCTCCTGATTGTGGGAGGTATTCCTTAGAATTCCAACTTTTGTCTTCTGTGAGTATGTATTTGTTTCCCTATTTTTTCTATTTTGTTTCTGAATTGACAATTCTTCTCAGGTTTTTCCGCTTCGTGTTCTTATATTTCTCGGTACACCAAATGGCGCTTGGACTTTTTGTGCTGCTTGCTGCATTGGCGCAAGATATGATTGCCGTATCATCATATGCTGCTTTTAGCAATTTGTTAATGATTCTATTGGGTGGTTTCATACTTCCAAGAGGTTGGATTGGTTGAATATGAAGCTTTTTGGATCATAGATAGTGTGTTTGGTGGGGTTCCCATACTCTTTGCATGCTTATAATGGTGGAAATGTGCATGCATCTGATGCTATTTTCACCGTTTATCTTCCTTAGCTTTTTTTTTTGGGACTGATGGTTTTCTTAATCCAGGTAGCCTCAAACCATGGTTGAACTGGGGTTACTGGATATCGCCACTTTCATATGGACAGATGGCTGCATCAGCGAATGAGTTCAGTGCTCCACGGTGGATGAAGGTACATTATATGGATCTATGTGTCCTTTGCAATTTGTACACTTAAGTTTTGGCAAAACATTTGTCAGCTAATACTTCTGTATTTTGAATAATATGATATCAAAGTCCTTCTCAGTTTGGTTTAATTTGCGGTTCATTTACCAGTTCTATACTGTATTCTATGGCAGAAGAGTACAGTTAGACATAATATCCTTCAATCCCATGGGATGCCTGAGAAAGATTACTGGTATTGGCTCGGGGTTGGTGTTCTATTAGCATTTAATATTCTATTTAATGCTTTGTCAATCATGGCCTTGAGCTATCTATATGGTAAGTCTGCAAGTGTTTCATCTGTTTTGTTCTTTCAAATTGCTCATCTTTGAATGATTTTTCATATTTTATCTTTACCAATTTGATTCTTTTCACATTGCTTACTACCCTGTTTTAATACTTCCTTTTATTTATTCCAGCTCCAGGGAAGTCCCATTTGGTGATTCCTTCTGATGAAAGTGCTGCAAAAGTTGATGGGTCCCATTCCACACGGGAGGTTTCTATGACAGGTTGCCTAGTTTAAACGTATTACAAATGATTGGTATAGGAGATGGAATTTTATTCATAATATTACATGATTCTCTACTAGTTTCAGTTTTCGCTACATATAATTTGTTTAAAACAACAACTAATTCTCCAGACCACTTTGGTTCTTCCAATAGAACTTCTGAAAACTTCAGAGTTAAGCACCACACTTGCAGTTGGAAGAAAAAGTACGAGGGCTAATCCACCACAGAGAATGATTCTGCCATTCCAGCCATTAACAATGACCTTTCATGATGTCAATTATTATGTCGATGTGCCAAAGGTGAATTCTTGTAATGGACTCGTTTTATCGGAATGGCTTTGTTTGATTTTCTTATTAGTTTGTGATTAGTTAACTTAGTTCTTTGAATTTTTGGGGGCATGCATCAGGGTGGCAGTCTTGGGAAGAAGTTACAGATTTTGTCAAACGTGAGTGGTGTATTTAGGCCTGGGGTTCTTACCGCTTTGGTTGGTGCAAGTGGAGCGGGGAAGACGACCCTTTTGGATGTGCTTGCTGGTAGGAAAACAAGTGGATATATTGAGGGAGATATTAGAATATCTGGTCATCTGAAAGAACAAAAGACATTTGCTAGGATTTCAGGATATGTCGAGCAAAGTGACATACATTCGCCTAACATAACAGTTGAAGAGTCCCTGCAGTTTTCATCATGGTTGCGCTTACCTAAGGAAGCCACCAGTGAAAATCGACTTGTCAGAATCCATCTTTATATCTTCCATGCTTTTACCTTTTGTTGCTTTGGGATCGTAACAATTTGTATTACAGGAATTTGTTGAAGAAGTGATGAATTTAGTTGAGCTTCACACTCTGAGACATGCTCTGGTTGGAATCTCTGGGAGTACTGGTCTCTCAACAGAACAAAGAAAACGCCTTACTATTGCTGTTGAGCTTGTAGCAAATCCATCAATCATTTTTATGGATGAACCTACATCTGGCTTGGATGCACGAGCTGCAGCTCTTGTGATGCGCGCCATTCGTAAAACTGCTGATACTGGAAGGACTGTGGTTTGCACGGTACATCAACCAAGTATTGTTATATTTGAGGCATTTGATGAGGTCAGTACATATATTTTTTTTTCTTAGATAAACGCAGAGACTCATCTTTTGTAATTCTTCTTTTTTTTTAATGTTCCTTTATCCTGGATATCATCTCATTTACCTAGAGTGCAGCTTCTTCTGTTGAAGCAAGGAGGACAAGTTATCTTTGGAGGTCCACTTGGTGAGCACTCACAATTGATGATAAATTATTTCCAGGTAAATTTTAGGTCTTCTGATTGGTGTGGGAGAAATTATCATATTTCATGAGTTATCAGAATGCTATTGCCTAGAAATTGGGTTGGTTAGTTTGAAACCTGTCTATTAGTAGTCTATAGGTTTTGGTTTGGCTGACAGATGAGCTCTTCTTATTGATTTTATGTACTGTTTTACAATTTGATTCCATCTTCCTTTTATCTAGAACAGTTATTTATGGGGCAATAATCCTTCTCCTGTGGAACGTATTAAATCAGCAAAGATTTACCTGATACGTGCTTCTGCTGGTTAGGCATTTTAACAGACAAATTTTTATCGTGTCATCCCATCTGATTGCATCCACAATGAACGTCAAATGTTAACTTGGCCCTTCAACAATGCTACAAATCTCATTTTCAGACTGATCTAAATATGGAATACTTGATTTGGTAACCCTTGGGACATTCTGTTAGATTTCTAAATCTGCATACTTGATACATATCATATGTTGCTAAAGTTTGTTATGAATCTCTGTGCTTGAGTTCTAGACTGCTGTATTTGGGTGTTTCTTATAAAATACAATTGTGCTTATGGATTATAAGCTATGGATTTATAATGCGTACTCATGACATCCGGAACTAAAAAATGATGAAGCAGGTCAAAAGCCAATATCCAGGATAGACAAAAATGTACCTCAATTTGTATACATTAGAAGAGAGGGTTGCTTCAACAATACATTATGTTAGTTCTCCCATTAAAGGAGGTTCTGGAAGGAGGTGACCAGAACATAATCTTGAGCTTCTTTCTGTATTGTATCAATCTAAAGTTACAACTCACAAAACCAGTAATGGAGTAACCTGGTCCATTGACAAGATATGGCTTGCATGCAAATGACAATACTTCACTTGGCATTTAAAAGTATGCATGAAACTATCAGGGTACGTTGCAAGGTTTTCAACGTTTCATCTCACAAGAGAGCTAAGAGTTTTGCTATTATCATAACATGTTGATCAGTGTTCGAAAAATCGAACCAGAACGGTTTTGCCGGACATGGGCGTGGAAGCAGTTAGATTGGAACCGGGCTAACCAGGCGGCTAACCGAACTGGTTTGGTCCCGGTAAAAAGAAAAAAATTTAAATGGGTAAAAAACCCCAAAAGAAAAAAAAAATCAAAAAACATGGAAAATATAGATTAAGTGTATACTATCTTATTCCCTACATTTATCTTAAAAAAATAAATTAAATTTAGAATATTCTTTAATCAAATAACAAAAGATTAGTAATAGATAGCTAATTTATAATTTCATCCAAATGAATACTATACTTCCATAATAGAGAGCTAATTTATAGAACTATATCATGCACCTAAAAAGAAAAAGGGAAAAGAACAAAAATTATTTTTCGGATTAAGAACACATTAGGTACAAGAGAATTTTTTTTTCCTTTTTAATGAGTACAACAGGCAAATATTATCTAGTTATCCAACTGTCCAATTTGCATTATTCTAGGATTTTCTATTTTCATCTAAGCCACCCATCAAAGAAATATGCTATTACAACAATAGGAGAAAACCTGTACTACAATTAAAAAGACAAAAATATAGGAAGATCAAAGATAAACAAATCGTAGCATTCATCATGAAACTAAAAAAAATGAACATGCTGGATTATTAAAAATAAATGAAATTAACAAGCAAAAACATATACACATGCATTAAAGTCTAAATCTTATAACCAAAACAAAAAAGGGAAAAAATACTACAATATTAAATAAACAATATAACATTAAAAAAATAATAGAAAAACAAACAAGTTTTATTAAGAAAAATAATTTTTTTTAGAAAAAAATAGAACATTTTTTAGAAAATTTTATTTCTCAAAAACCCCTAAAATCGAGCAACATTCGAGCAAAAACAACCATCAATCTTCTGATAATCGCACAAATCAAAATACATGCATTGTAAAGGTTTCAATCATCTTTCAAATGCACCAAATTTCATAAAAAATGATTCGATATTGAAGATTTAATTGAAAAAATGGAGAACCATTTTTTATTCGTATAAAATGAATAGGGATGATATTTAACATGTCACCAAATTTCACCAAATATCCTAGGAGATGATATTTGACATGTCTAAGGAATGATATGTTCTTGAATCTGGCTATTTGTTCCCAGTCAAATGAATAGGGATTTGCAGGTCAAACAGGTGTTAATCTGCTCATTCAATAATTCGGGATTTCTATTTTAAGGGTTTTTTGAGATAATTTCTTGTATTTGATATTTTCTTGTGCAGGCAATTCCTGGGGTTCCTGCTATTCGTGATGGATACAATCCGGCAACTTGGATACTTGAAATTTGTACACAGGCTTGCAAACAGAAGATCAGTCTGGACTTTGCCTCAATTTATCAGAACTCTGATCAATATAGGTCAATTCAAGACACATTTTGTGATGCATTTTGTATATCCTGATACAACTGGCTCTAATAGTTGTTCCATTGCAACTGATTATTACTTAATTTTTTAATTACAGGGAAATAGAAGGTCTAATTAAAGATTGTAGCATTCCTGTTGCGGGTTCCGAGCCTCTGAAATTTTCTTTGGAATTCTCTCAAGGCTATTTAATGCAATTTAAATTATGCTTTTGGAAAATAAACCTAGCATACTGGAGGAACCCTCCCTACAATGTAGTGCGGTTTTACTTCTCGACAATATGCGGATTGATATTAGGCTCAGTATTTTGGAATATTGGTTCAAAAAGGTAGTCTCCATGTCCCTTTGGCTTACCTAATTTTTAGATGGACTTGGTGGTAATTACATGCATGGTCACATGCAATATCGCAATAATGCTAGTAGTTGCATGAATGCTAATAGCAACGTCGCATATCTCTTTGTTCTGGCTAAGCTCCCTCGGAATGCAGGCAAAAAATAAGCAGCGCTAGCTGCTTTCTCTCAAGTCATTGAAACTCTTTGTTATTTCCTCAAAGTATCTCCGATGGTTATGTAAATAATCACAAACCTACTACTTTTCAATATGATCAGCAGATCACCTAAATTAAATGAAAAAGCTTAATGCTTTGCTGTGTTTACCATTTGTGTAGTTGCCTTGTGTAAGTATTTGTAAATAGTACCCTTTGTGTATATATCACATGATCTTTTAGTTGAAAACTGATCCTTCAGAGGGGTCATATAGTTGTCATTCTTTGCATACCTCCCAGCAGTGATATGTGGTTTCTTTCAGGGATACAATACAAGATGTTTCTAATATTATGGGGGCTCTTTATCTAGTCTGCATGTTTCTTGGAGTTAATAATGCCACCTCAATACAATCAATTGTTTACCTGGAGAGAACTGTATATTATAGAGAGAGTTCTAGTGGAATGTATTCGCCCTTTCCATTTGCAGCAGCACAGGTATAATCTTTGACTGTTTCGTGATTTTTTTTTTTCTTTTCTAATGTTTAACATTACTGGTTCTTGAATTTTCAAATTCTTAATTTGAAAGTTGGTACTAAATTGCTGCCATCGGAATTTATAGGCTCTAGTGGAGATTCCATATGTTGCCATCCAAACAATGCTCTTTGGATGCACTACATACTTCATGATCGGTTTCGAGAGAACGATAGGTAAAATATTGTACGTACATTCCTATTTGAAATACCCAGCGTAGTTATTATTTAATGTTTGTAAAAGATGGTGTTTGGTTGTTTTGTAGTAAAGAAAACCATAATACTCTCAACCACATTTATTGTGCTCTTGAAGGAACCTTGTATGACTTCCCAATGAGGCCCTACCAATTAAATATCATAGAGAATAACAGAAATAATGAATATCTTCATTGAAAAACTTATCGTTGACATCCTAAGTAAGATATTAGGATCATTGATGTCCCTTTCCACCAAATGGGAAGGGCCGTTGTGTAAATGAAGTTCTTAGTAATTGTTCCATAGGTCCTATAGTTGTATGAAGAAATCATGTTAAGAAAAGGGTTTCTCATTGTATAAATGATACTTTGAACTTATAAGAGCATAAAGACATAATGGTTCTTTATTTTTTTGAGTTGTTCTTCTAGATCGTTTGCTCAAGATACTTGGTATTTAGTCAACTGGCTAGGGTTAGCACATATTTCAAGACATTGTCGGTCCTAAGCCCGGATGAGAAAGGAGGATTGTGTTAGGTTGGCAGCCAGTGGAAAACTTCTGCTACATCCCTATTATAGATCCTGATCCAACATTATATGCTTATGCTAGGGTATTCCCTATAAGTGGCGTACTTTACCAGCACCTAGATGTAGTGAGACATGAGCAAGAGTTAGCTAAGGCATTCCTTGAAACTCTGGAAGGGAGCGTTGCAACAATACCCTGTTGCCGTGATAAGTAGGCAAGGTTCCAATGCCATTTTTTATGAGCACAGGTCAAGAAGCTAGTCCATGAGAATAGGCTTCTTCTAGCCGCATGGAATGTAGGAATTTTATTAGGTAAGAATGTGGAACTAGTGGATACAATAAAATAAAAAAGAGTAAACATAGTGTGAAATGGGCAAAAGCTAAGGAAATTGATGGATATAAACTTTAGTATATAGAAAAAGATAATAAAAGAAATGGCGTGGGTATAATGGTAGACAAAGATTTACAGGATAAAGTAATAAATGTGAAGAGAGTATGTGATAGGCTCTTATCAAACTAAACTTTTGTAGGGATGAGATAATTAATGTAATTAGTGCTTATACGCCATTGGTAAGATTAGAGGATAGAATCAAAAGACAATTTTGTGAAGACATGGATGGACTAGTCCAATGAATACCAAATGGAGAGAGGACATTTTTAGGAGGGGACTTAAATGGTAATGTAGGAAAAGATAGTAGAAAATATGAAAAGGTACGTGGAGGATATGCATGTCTAGAAAGAGATGATATAGGTGATGTTATTCTTGATTTTGCTATGGCTTAGATCGAACAATGGAAAGCACTTAATTTCGAAAGTGAGATGAACACTTAGTAACTTACAAAAAGTGAATCATATAAAAGCCAAATAGACTTTTTTCTAGTTAAGAAGATCAAATGATTATGATGGAAAGACTGTAAGGTTATCCAAGGAGAGAATTTGACCAAGCAACATAGGCTCATGGTTATGGATGCTTGCATCAAGAGATGCAAGAGAAGGAATGACATTATGAATGTATAAGAACAAGGTAGTGGAACTTACAAAGGGTGAAAGTAGACTTAATTAGGAATAAATTGGTGAAAGAAGGAAAATGAAATTATGAAGACGAAATTAATGTTACGTGGAATGAGATGGTTGATTATATTAAGGAAAAGAACTTTAGGAGAATCTAGAAGGAAATTACTTTTAAATAAGGAAACTTCATGGTGGACTGATGGAGTTCAAAAGGCTATTAGCGAGAAACAATCATGTTACAAAGTTTGGCAAGGGAATAGAAATGATCTGAAGTTTGAAGAAAATATAAAAGGCCACTTAAGGCATATGATGATTTATACATTAAATCAAGGACAAGCGAGGGTAAAAAAAATATGTCCTCAAACTAGCAAAAATGAGAGAGAAGATGTATAGGGACCTAGGGTGATGCAAGAAAATCTAGAAAAGAGGGAAAATAGTTCAATAGACCATCAAAATAGGTCAGATTTGAGTAGACCTGTCTTTTCTTGGATTTGCACAAAAAAGAGTCTGAACCCTAGATAGCACTTGAATTTACTATTCAAACTTTGTTTTTACTGTTCATGTCCCAAAAGTATTAGAAACCCTAGCACCTCATGCCATTTTATTACATTATACTGGAAAAGACCAATACTGCCCCACTGACCAATACTGCCCCACTTAAATTAAAATATTATAAAAATACCTCATAAGCCCCTTCACTTATATTAAAACATAAAAGGTCCCTAAATTGTGCAGAGCTTCAATCAAAGCGTTGGAAATCACTAAGAGATTGTAAAAACAACAACAAACTAAAAATAAACTCCTTCAAAAGTTGGCAAAAGTTAGTCTTCCCCTCCTTGATCTCCTTGCGACCTTAGGATGTGGGCCATCATAAAAGGGGTCATCAAATGATGAATTGATTGGGTTAAAAGGCCCATGAGAACTGTCTTGACCATTCAAAGGACTTTCGGTGCATCATTCTCCCCCGGTAGGGAGGAACTCGACCTCGAGTTCGGCTCTTCTTCTATTGCTACTTTTGGTCTATGGTATTAAAAAAAAAATCAGCAACATTGAACACATTCGAGGTCTCAAGCTCAGCTGGAAAGTCGATCTTATGGGCATTACTCCCCACCTTTTTGAACACCTGAAACGATCTGATCTTCTTGTTATTGAGCTTGGTGTACTTTCCCACAGGATGCTTATCTTTGTGTAGATCAATCATGACCAAATCTCACACATTAACTAGGCTTGAGATCAAGGTGTGCCATCTTACTGCATCTCCTCATAGACATCAAATCAACCATGTTGTTTTCCCATTGGGAACTGCCATACTTGTACACAAGCACAACATACTCGGTGCTGAATGCATCAGAGAGTACTCTACCACAAATTTTGAAGCGGTTCAAGATTAATGTTGCGTTGCCCCCATGATTTCCTTCAGCTCCCACATTGTAATTTGATATAAGGTTCTCCACTCAAAACAAAACAATGGATGAAATTGAACCTTAACATCAAGAATCATATAATCAACCATCCATTGCCACCTTTCATATTGAACTCAGTAGTGAAATGCTCATAGGAACATATCACTCACCTCACATGATACCCCATATTAGGGTAATTAATCTAGAAACAATATCCTTACTGCCACCGTCATCTCCTTGATCCTCCTTGCCTTCACCTTGCTATTGTCCATAGATAATATCACCCATCAAATCATCATCAAAGTTAGGACCATCATTTAAAATAGGATCACTATCAAAGACAGGATGAACATCCCCATCAAAAGATATCTTGTCAATGATTGGATCACCCTTAAAATCGCACCAATCACTAAGGATTTGGGCAATAAAATCCCTTCCTAGCTTCTCACCTACTACTCGGGGTGTAATCATGCTGCGTCGGATGCCCCTCCCCATGGTCACTGAATGTCACATCAGGTCCATCAACCGGCTTATCATAAATGGGATCACCTTCAAAAGGGTGCTTGTTGTCCTCATCTAAAAACTTATCAGAAAGGTTGATGAACTTGCGATTTGGGCACTGTGATGAAACATGCCAGATGCTCGAACACTTGTGGCACTTGATGTTGCTAATGTCACCCCTTTCGGGGCACCTGACTCTCGAAACAACGCCTTTTGGTCTAGGGAACCTTGGTGGTTGGTCCTTCTAGCATTGCAAGATGTCGAACCAGTGCCCTTCGTGCTGCCATTTCTTCTAAAATTACCACCATAGACAGCAACCATGTTTCGCCCATCACACGTACCCTCACCCACCTGTGCGAGGATCGTTTCTGCTAAGTTTCAACCCCTCTTTGCGAGGTTATAAACCTCATCAATGGTCCAATACCCCTGCAAAATTACCACATCTTGTATTTGAAAGTTGTGGCTACGTGGATTTTGAGGTATTAAGTTCATTTTTTTTTTTTTAATTCTAGATACCTGAATTCCACTTACATAGGCTACTTTATGTTGCTGTAAATTAAACTAATACCCTAGATACAACCTAGGATCTTTATTTTTACTGCCAAAAGAAATAGAAACTATCCAGGAGCTTAAAAAAACATTCCACCATTAAGTTTTAGCACAAAACAAATTCTTGAAAATTCACATACAATAAGAAATAATATTGAAATTAGTTAGAGCTATTGGGAAGACTTACTGGAAGATGTTGGGAGTTACCATCCCATATCTTGATACACCCCACACCTTATTCCATGAGACCACATAGTTCTCTTGGCCTATAAACATCATTCCTGGGCATCTGTCCAACGTTAACAAGGGATGACCCACTACAAACTCGTTTTTTATAGTACTATATGCCCAGGGGTAAGGTTTTGGACATGACCAGGGCCATAAACCGCCAAACCCTTGGTGAGTCAATGCACACACTCCCAATTAAGTGCATATTCCACTATAAAATATCATATTTACAAGCTCTTTAGGCCTTTAAAAGCCACAGTCCATTCACATACCTGGCAATAGATTGCTCCAACTGCTCGATCACATCACCACGGCAATCAAAAGATGAAACTCATCTGTGTATTGAACCACCACCTCTTTCCTTGGTGCAACAACATGTGTCTTATGATATCATCATCATAGGTTTTTTCTAATTAATTGAGGTCGGTTACATGTGTCTTATGATATAAACACTGTAAATAAATTTTCGGGAGCTATTTCTGCATCTTTTTCCTCATCCTCTCCCACGATACAATTTAGGTTTTCTCATCCTTTCTCGCCTTACTCTCAGATGTTCCCACCACATCAAAGCTTTTCTTCAATTGAACGACAATAATTTTAACCTTATTCTATTCTTTTTCTATAAACCGAATTTTATTTTTCTTCACTCGACAAATGATGCAAATAAAAAAATTGGGGTTGTTTAATTTTTTTATTTTTTATTTTTAATTTTAAAAAGGTGTTATTTCAGATTTTAGTTTGTTTAAGGGTTATATTTGTCTTATGTAGTTGTAGAGATTTAAATGGTAAATTCTCTATGGGAGTTGGTTAGGATAGATTTTTACGAGGATATAATTTCTATTTTTGTGGGGGTTGAGGTTGTTATCTCTTAACAGGTTTATAAGCATCATAAAAGGAAAAAGAAAGAAAGAGATAAGATAGAGTTTATTTTTTGTGGGTTGCTTTATTTATTTATTTATTTTAAGTATATTTGAAGAGAAAAAGTCCCTCATTGTAAAAGAAGAGAATTTGTTTTGAGTAAAGAATTTGGTCTTGTGAAAAGATCTTTTGAAGGAGACTCCCTTGCAGTCCTAGAGAGTTATTTTATTTTTATTTTCTGATTTATTATTGTTTTTTTCCTACATCAACACATCTCGCGGAACACGACCGTGAAAAGGGTTGTACTCAACATTGTCCTGGATGGACAAAACTTCATCTCCTCATGATTGATGCCTGCGAGCTTCCTTTTATGTTCTTGAAGTTGCCGACTCATATCCTCTATCTCTTGAGCTCGCTCATCACGAGGTGGATCCATATAAATACCCTTGTCTCGACCTCTTCTTGTTGTCGTAGGTTCACCAGAATCCAAACCCTAGACTTGGTTGTAGATTTTCAACTTTAATGTTGAAAAAAACCTAGACACTAATACCAATTGATGCAGAAAAACAGAAAAAAGAGGCAAAAACAGTTCAATAAGAATAAGAGGGGTGGTGACCCTAGGCACATTCAAGTAAGTCTTCTCATCTGTATTATTTTATTTTTCAATCATATTTATATTTACTGTGATTTTTTGGGAATATTATTTGTACTTAAATTGTTAATGGAAGCTTGTTTTTATTCTCAGATTCATCATCATCATCATAATATTTTTCCAACTACTTGGGGTCGGCTACATGAATCCTGGTTGCCATTCTACTCTATCAAGGGCCATACCCTAAGTGAGGCCATAAGTCCCCATATCTTTTCTCACTACTTCCAACCATGCCCTTTTGGGCCTACCGTTTGCCTTTTTTTAGCTTGGCTTTTATTTTGGCAGAAAAGGAAAGGTCCTAGGTTGTAGTTAGGTTTTTGTTCTTCGTTCACAGCAGTGTATTGCGGCACTTACAAGTGAAATTCAGATTCAATAATTAAGAAAAGAAATTTTTTTTATTTTATAGCCATGAATTCCACATGACCAACAACTTCCACAAATTGGAGAATATGAGAAAGACTTTCAATAATAATACTATTGTTAAGGTGCAGAAATGGCAAGAACTACCAGATCTGCAAAGGAGTGACTTACCAGCATGTTATCATGAAATGCAACAGTCGAATGACCTGATGAGTGTATGAAATTCAATGAGAATGCTGGAATATTTACGTTGCATGTGAATGCAATCTTACCTGAGAAAGGTGCATTGGGATGTTAATGCTGACATTTTGGTAGGTCTTTTCTTGTTATTAAAATCATGGAAGCATACAAGTACTTGGGAAGCCCCAAGTAAGACTCTTCCTTTTAGTCCATATTGACCTGTTTAATGACTTTTTGGTTTGTCCTAATATTCATTTGTGAAATACTATTATCCCTTGGCATTTGTTATAGTCTATAATTCGTAATGAATTGTTTACTTGCAGCTGACCATGTTGCCATTTAAGTTTCATTGAAATGAATTGTTTACTTGCAGCTGACCATGTTGCAATCTAAGCTTCATTGGAATTATGTCACTTTTTACAAAATGAGCTTTGTAACCCTTGTTGGTTTTGCAGTGAAGTTTCTGAAGTATCTCATTGTCATGTACCTGACGTTCCTGTACTTCACATTCTATGGGATGATGGCTGTGGGCGTGTCGTCTTCTCAACACCTTGCAGCAACTTTTGCCAGTACATTTTACTCAATATGGAATCTTCTATCTGGTTTCCTCATCCCAAAAGCAGTAAGTAACATCTTGACACTTATTTTTCTTTATTCTCATGTTATTGGACTCTTAGGATTTTGTGAAGTAAAAGTCTCTAGCTTAGCTGGATTTGGAGAAAACAATGTCGGATGGGTGCTTCCCATATTTACCCATTAATTTGAATAAGGGACGAGTATTTGCATCTGTATTTGCACCCAAGTACATTGGTGGAAATTCTAGCAAGCTCTTTCTGGATATACGCGCTAATATTTCAGGTGGAAGTAAGAAAAACTTGGACGCAAATAGCAAATAACTGACTCCATTACCTCCTTTTTGTCCCACATCCAAACAGAATCCAAAAACAATGAACATTAAATTTGCTTAACTTGTAAGAAGACTATTATTTTAAATTTCCTACACAACGATTTTGCACAGATGATGGGGAATTCGTGAGTACTGATATTCCTCTTGGTTTCTGTGAAATATGTGAAAAACATATAAACCAAAAGATTAACAATGTTAATTTGTTCAAGTTCATATCTCCAATGCTCTGGTCTTTTAGGACAGTATGCTAGTTTCTGTAGGCATCTTATTCAGTAATATCGGGGTTTAAAAAATCCGGTTCAAATTGAAATTGCCCAGTTTGAATTGCCATTGGTGGAATGAAGATTAGAACCCGGAATCATCTGATACCCCCCAGTTTTTTATTTATTTATTTGTCTTTCTATTGTATCCATGCGCCAATTTGACTCGGGAGTTGCCTGAGCTGAACCAAGTGAATGGAATTGGTCCTCTAGTGATCTAGGGTAAGATTCGAATTTTTTAAACCCTGGTTTATAAACTTTATTCTAACAAATAAAAGAAGGGAATTGTTTCCTCTTCCTCTTTTGCTCTTAAAGGTCATGGTTTTGTGACAATATTTCTCTCAGAGGATTCCCGTGTGGTGGATTTGGTTCCATTACATCTGCCCAGTGGCATGGACCCTACGTGGCATTGTATCTTCTCAACTTGGTGACGTGGAAAGTGAGCTGGTGGGACCAGGTTTCAGAGGTACAGTGAAAGAATATCTGAAAATATATTTGGATTATGATTCTAGCATGATTAGTGTCAGCATATATGTTCTTGTGGCATTCTCGTTTTTCTTCTTTGCAATGTTTGCTGTATCCATTAGGTTCCTGAATTATCAGAAACGTTGATACATGTATGTAGTTACATTTTGATTGTTGAAGGTGAAGAGCCTCTATTGGGACTGGTGTAGTGTATTTTAGTGCTACTTTTACTGAAGAACTCTTTTAATCTTTGCTTACGGTGCTGTTTTTAGTGTTTTGAAGTTCTTCGAATCAGCAACATTGGAGACACCATAGTCAATAAACGGTTGTTACACGCCTATACCATGTTATATAGGCACTGATCGGGTGTCTATTCGTGACACAGAAATGAGTGTCAGAAATGTAAACCCCAAAAAATAACGTTGAGACATTATACGTGAGACATTATACGTCTTTGCAATATATATATATATATATATATATATATATATATATATATATAAAATGATGCCACTGACCTTTGATACAAAGAGGTCACAAGTATTTATAATCATTCGATGTGAAATCTGATAGCTTGGGTATATCACAAAATTCGAAAAAAATTCTTTTGAACTTTGGGCTAGGTCAATGAAATAAATGTAGTCACCCAATTTTACATCCAATGATCAAGATTAATTGTGATTACCTTGTACCAAAGGTAAATGTTCTCATGATATACTTTTCCATATATATATACTTATCCTAAAATTTGTGTACTTCACATATTCATTTGCACATACAATTCTTGTCATACAACAATAATATAGCATCCAAAAAACAAAAATGATTAAATTAATAATTCAAAAAAAGGTTTTTTTGTGAATCTGAATTTTATACATTCAAATTTTTTAATGCTCAATCTGAAGTTGCATCATAATAGTATGAAAAAAAACCCTACAAAGTATTAGCTAATTATTAATTCAAAATATGGCAGCCTTATTTCGTGGCCATTGAAAAGAGTCATAAAGTATTCATTCAAAATACAAGCTTTCAAAACTAGTAAAAATTAGTTGTTAAGACAAAACAAGGTACATTACAATTCATGCTATTAATAGCATGAAAGATGGAACAATAAAGATCTTGCATGGCACAAGGCACAGTGAAAATGAAAGAGAGAGTTTGAAGGAGCGATGAATATAAAAAAAATAGCTTGGAGATAGTGAAACCAGTAGTCCACTCCCTTGGAGAGGAAGAAATCGGTGGTCACGACTTGCAAAGGGATAAACTATTTTGGGAGGAGAAACTTTAGAAAGTTTCATAGTAGTTGAAGTAAACCATATTTTTTATTTAAAATAACTACGACTTATGGAAACCGTAATTTAACAAATAAAAATATTTTTTATTTTTTATTCGAAACTACTTATTGATACATATAAAATAAAATACTCTTCAATAAAGTCTGAAGTTCTCAAAAAAAAAACGTCACTTTTAAAACAAAAATAAAAGTGTCTAAAAAAAGTACACAGGTGTTGTATGTGTCTTACGAGTGTCAATCATGTGTCGATATTCGTTTAGTGTCGATAACTCTGAAACTTGTCGTGGTGATTCGAGCTGTAGAGGTTAGACCAGTGACGCATTCCAAAACCACGAACTATTTTTAAAACGGATATGGGTTTGTATTCCCCATTGATCTACCCAAAAAAAAAAAAAATCTACCGTTCAAATTCATAAAGTCGGTAGCTTCCCTAAAAATTGTTGATTACTCGAAAGTCATTGGCGAATTTAATAGTGGTCCCTCCGTCCTTGCCTAATTCTTCAAAGCTGGTTTAATTATGTATTTAGGGAGTATTAACTGTTATCTATTATGACCTTAATTAACGCAAGTATTACTTGTGTATATATTATTATGTATAGGGTGTATTACATTCTTTTATCACGTATTAATGGCCCAACCGTCCCTCATTGTGCTTGTTTTTCTAAGTCTCTAATTACGAACACTAACTTGTGATCCCCACCGTCCATTATAAACTAGTGGCCATGATGAATGGACACAGCAAGTTAAATACCACAAGCATGTATGATATGAGAGCCTACTAAGAGGAATAAAAGTGATCACATATATTTTGTGATGAACCTTGTTTTTTCGATGTGTAAGGGTTTAGTTGGTAGAGATAAAGAACGTGACACAGAGACAAAAGGAGCTTAAATGACATGCTCTAATGGAGAAGATGCTCGAATTATTTTGGGGAAGGGGAGGAGGAAGATATCAGGATTGACGATAGTGGTGAAGAATATTGGGGTACTAAGGCGAAGGTAAATACCATCTTTAAAAGAAGATTAGTTCACGCTAAATAGGTTCGTTCATCCTCCTCGATTTGCTTTGTAAAGGCTCCTGTTTAGCGGTTACCTAATCTTCACTAAAAGATTGTCTTCGTTTCCTGCTGTGTGTTTTTGATGGAAGAGTTGGAGAGATTGACATGTTAACGAGTTATGGAGAGAAAATAAGAGATGGAAACGCTAGAGAGAGCGCCTTGTTTTGGAGAAAAAAAAGTTTAAGAATTCTTATATAAAAAGAAAGAGCAAGCTAAGATGGTTTAGGAGAGAAAGGAAAGAGGAAGGAAAATTTGGAGCAATCAGTGTCTGGTATCAATTTATTAATGTTATATTTGTTTTTTTTATTGTTTCCAAAATTATATTTCAGTACAAGAATGACATCCTCGGCCTCTTATTAATTTAATTTTTTTTATTTTTTCGTTTATTGGGCAGTTCCCTAGTGTAAGGGGGTAGTGCCCAATACAGAACGCGGAGGTTGTATCACTTTCATTTTCTTTACAAAAACTCGTTAACAGTTTAAAATAAAAAAAAAAAGAGAGGAAAGAAATGCCTATTTCTTTATCAGAAAAGACTTTTAAAAAGCTTCTTCCTTTTAATGTTCAAAATTTATAAGTTTTCTTGGAACTTCCTGTACCTTCATTATTTCGAAATATTTGAATTTTAGCTTTGAGATACACTAACTAGGAAAAAGTAGAATTAATTTAAGAATATTGATTCCTCCGCAACGGAATTTTAGTCACTATATTTTAGAACCATTCTTTATTTTTCAAATGCAAGAGGGTGAGCATTAAACATGTCCAAACTTCAAGTCCATCCCAGCCATAAAATAAAAATTTTGTTTATTTGTGATTAAATGGTATACCAAGACTTGAACGTACGTTGGATAATCAAGAGGGAAATTAGATGGCAGATGCTCTGGCGGAACAAGGTTTTTTTTTTTTTGTATCAAATATTGTAGTTTCGAAGCTACTGATGTTTGCTGTGTAATTTGTCTTAACGTATTTTATCAATAAAGTCATTAACACTATATGAAAAATTTTATATAAGGTTGCAACCTTCAAATGTAGAATTAAAGATTGACCTCAAAAACAATAGGAAAAGGTTGTTTTGATGTTGAAAAACGTTCTAATTGATCATCTCGACATCAAGATGTATGATATGAAAAAAAAAAAAAACATTTTGAGTCCAAGAAATAGTGCATCTTACAACACATTGTCTAGACCATCAATTTTCAAGATTTTCATATGTTTATAGAACTACTTGATTTTAATAACTTTTGGATTTTAAAATTTTATAATTAGATATGAAAATAGATTTTGAGATAATCCTAAAAAAAATTTACACCTAAATTATATGTTATGATAAAATTTGGAGGTGTGCTTTCATTGAATTGTTTAAAGTTACAACCTTATAGAAATTGCATTCATAAATGGAAAACTCTTAAAAACACTTACACGACAAATAGAGGCAAGCAAAGAAATTTTATTTATTACAGAGAAAAGTTTATATAGAGCCTCAACTCTAAACAATCAAATTAGAGCCCACCTCAAAATTTTCATTATAAAAGGTCGTTTTGATGCCCAAATATCTTCAAGTTGATCATCTCGGTATCAAGATGCATGGACATGAGAAAAAAATGGATTTCAAATTTTGGAAATAATGCAACTTGTAATGCATATTTGGATAGCCAATTTTCAAGTTTTTCAAGTTTTCATAAATCTACTTGATCTATACTATTTTTTAAGCTTTAAAATTTATAATTAAATGTAAAAATATAATCAAAGCTATTACAAAGATTTCTAGTACTGAAACCATATTTCTCGATACTATTTGAAAGTAGGCTCTAATTGATTGTTTAGAGACCCTAGGCTATGCACATATCACACCCTTTATTAAACCCTACTTTATGAGAACAAATTTTTGTTTTACTAATATCTTCATTTGAATCGACTGTTTAAAAAGGAAAATTGAATATTAAGAATTTGCCATTTTTTTTTGTTTGACGATAAAAGTTGGAAATTTCTAGAAATTATCTTAATCTAACCTTGTCATTAGGACTCTTATGTGGAGGGAATACTACTTTGAGAAAACTTTATTTATTGGGATTCTATAAGGAGAATATCATACTTTTCGATAAAAATCTAGCCCAAAGCCATGTCTCTAGATTTATTAAATGGCAACTAAACTTATAATATCATGAATTACCCTCTAGTAGGATGACATGTTTTTTATTTCTTTGTACGGTCGTGAATTTGTGATTAATTTATTTTGATATATGTAGTATAAATAGTAGGTACAACCGAACAAACAAACGATATCCTTATTGTGGTGACCTTTTTCCAAAGAAAAAAGGTCTACAAAGACACTATGGCTTTTGGTACAAAGAGGCTATTTTTTTTGTCTAGTGTAGTTGTAATAGTACGGTGGTAAGAGCGTCTTTTACTATATTCAAATTCAAATAAAAGGAAATATCGAACTTTGTCACGTATCTCAACCCATCTAATTTGACATCTAATGAATGTGAGTTAAGATTTTTTTTATGATAAAGATAAATGGTACTATAGTATACAATCTTTTTTTCAAGTATGTACCGTGTGCATTTTTTTTTTTTATATGAGGGCATTTAAGTAAGTAAGTGTTTTGATAGGGGGCTCACATAATAGTTAGCAAGTTGGGGACTATCAATAAATCAACTCATCATAAAATCGAAAAGAAATCGTTTTATTTTAAAAGTCGGATGAAAAAATCGGAAAAAACATACGGATCAACAAAAATATCAAAGCCAATATATCGAACTAGGCTCAAAAAATCAAAATCAAATAATCGAATAATTTTAAAATATTTAAAATTTTGAAATTCTAAAAAATAAAAATTATGCCAAAACCATCAATAACTAATCCATCCATAAAAATATACCATATAAATTTACTCATTAAATGATTTAACAAACATCATACCTACTTAGTACATACCAAAAAAAATACATTAATTTTTTTTCTCATTAAAAAGCTTGGTATGGTGACTATGGTCACTCTATAACCATGGTTAAAGTTTATATACAGTTGTTTAATGGGTGCGGTTTGTATAGAGCCCAGGCTCTTAACAATCAAAACACAATGCATCTTCAAATTGTATAAAAAATATGATTTCAATACAGAAAATCTTTATGATAGACTTAAAATATACTTTTATCTTTAATTCTAAATTTTAAAGCCTTAAAAATAGTGTGGATCACATAGATCTATAAAAACTTGAAAATCTTGAAAACTAACTGTCAAAAAATACGCTACAAAATGCCCTATTTCCAAAACCTGAAATCTATTTTTTTCTCATATCCATGCATCTTGATGGTGAGATGACCAATTTGGGGATATTTGAGCATCAAAACAACCTCTTCTAGTGTAATGTTTGAGGTGGGCTGTGATTTGATGGTTTAGAGCCTCGGCTTTATAAAAACTTTTTCTTTTTTTAATTAAAAAAAGGGCTTGATAAATACACATTTTGAGTTCGAGTTCTTTGTTTGAAAAGGATGTTTCCAGACAGAAAAAGGCTCTAGTTGCCTTGAATTTAAGGGATTTTACAAGAGCATCTCTTTCCCTTTTTTTTGCGATCGCATAATCCATAACTCTTCGATCATCTTCATCCCTAGCAATCATTGCAAATCTATTCATAGAGAGAGAAGAAATTTGAGCTGCTGCCACAATAGCCTTTCTGGTTGAGAGATTCACGACTGGTCTAGAATTAGGAGCTATAGAACACAAGTTCCTATCAATTCCCCGTCCTTTCTTATTAGAATCACCATTATTTGTGAAATGAAAGTTAGGGTTTGTGCAATGAGCACAGGCATAAACAGGCAAACATTCAAGATAAACATGTCGAATGTGAAACTGAGACACACTTTGCCATCAATTAATGGCGCCTCGTCAGTGTAAACTTCGAAGCAACTACGGCAAAACAATTCTAAGTGGGATTTCAGCAGGTACCTTTGGGCTCGGGGCAAGATTTGGGATGTTGATTTTTTGCTTGGGGATGCTGATTTTTAGAGAGAAAAAAGGAAGAGAACTTGAACAAAAAAAAATACAGGTAAAAAAATACGCTTTTTTTATCTTGTGTAAATAGTTTATGAAAAATAGCGTTTTAAACGCTTTTATGAAAAAAAATAGCGATTTTTGTATACCTTTTCAAAATTAGCAATTTTAAACGGTTGGCTTTTGAGGTTAGCGGAGTGGTGTTCCAAGGCAATATGCTCTCATACCCCTTATTCAACTTGTATTTCACTTTGGCTTTGGTGTTCCAATCGAATCAGCTATAATGGCCCTGATTCAACATTGTGCATCTCTTTTGCAAGTGGAATGACTTGTAAATCTGAGTTCCCAGCCATTGTGTCTGCTTGTTGATCAAGACCTTATGTATTTGCAGAACTGCTTTTACACATGAGTGACAGAGAAATGCGATCTCTATGTTTATGAACCTGAGAAAAAGAACCAAACTGAAAACGTGAGGGAGAGAGAGATGGGGCAAGAGAAAGGAAAATAGGATAGAGCGCTAGGGTTTTCCAATAGAGAGAGAGAGAGAGAGAGAGAGAGAAATAAATTAATACCAAAAATATGGCCGATGGACGGGCGACCATGGCCATTTTCCGGCAGCTGAAACCAAATCCGGCAAGTGGAAGGGCTTATGGTGACGGGAGCGCAGGAAGATGAAGAGGGTGCTTCAACCCGATGCCCCCAAAAAGTATTTTTTAATGCCTCAAAAAGTATTTTTTTAATGGACGAACATGCCCACTACAGTTTCATTACATCTATTTTGTAGAGTTGGTTTTTAAGTAAAAACTTGTTGAGTAAAATGATAAAACGTGAGCAGAGCACGCTAATAAAAGTAAAGAGCAGTGCACTAGCCCGCGTATAGACCATTTTGTTCTCTTTGGGGTTCATATGTCGCAATAATCCAAAATCTTCACAATGATGCTAACATGAATGGAGATCAGCCGAACACTTCAAATATGGTTGTTCAGTCATTTAGAAAAATGTTCTCCGCTTCTGTCTGTGACTTAGAGCCTATTTGATTGTTGATAGGTAAACATTTTCTAAAAATTGGAAGTTTTTTTTTGGGAAGTGGAATGTTCTCTCTGGAATTGTTAATACTCGAATGTTAAGGAAGTTCTAGGTATATGTGTTTGATAACCTGCAATGTTAATGAAGTTATAGGGTATATGTGTTTGATAACATGTTAGAATGTTAAAGAAATTTTAGGTACCTATATTTGATTTACTATGGGGCATTTGGTTTCTAGAGGGCTGAGGATAAACCGGTTTAAGCGGTTCACTCATTTCTTAGTAATATTTAAGCTAATATGTCATGTATGAAGGAGATATTGAAGACACTCTGAATCTTCAACATGTATATCAAAATGAAGGGCTTAGATCAAGTGTATAAGAAGTACAATATATATATATATATATATATATATATATATATATATATATAGTAAGTAGGTAGTAACTACTACGTACTCTATGTAGTAATATATAGTACTACAACACTACCTAACGTATATACGTGGTACCTTCGTAGTACAACTAGTAA